GTGAGGCCGAGATTAGAATGGGGTAATGTCTAGTGAGAATCCGAAAAGGTGAAAAATTAATATAGCTAGACCTCTTACTTTGCGAAAAAAAGAATGGGAGCCCCGGTCAAAAAGCGTAAGATGAGACTTGGGTATCTTTCGAAAGAAACGGCGTTCTCGTGCCAACATAACAAGGAAAACTAAACATAATTAATGAACTTGGAGGCTATTGAAAAATTAGCTTTAGTCCTCCGCGTACTTCAAGTATACGTCAAAGCACAAATGTGCTGAGACGGTTTAGCTTAGTTGTACACCATGTCTACTCTTTGCATAGGTTTAAATGATTGTTCCTAAATTGTGACTTACTGAGTTCCTTGTTCCTAAGAATAGCCCTGAAGTTCCTGAATACATTGAGTCTTTGTTAGAATATTCCAATCTCTCAAAAGAAAGGGACAATTATTTTTATCCATGATCCATTCACCACCACCTTCACAAGTCCTTCTGATCAATAGCTAGTTTATTTGTGTACGCTGTCATTACTTTGAGGATGTTGTGAATACTTTGTCAAACAGTTTAGCTTGAGTACAAAGATGTAGTTTAGGGAAAAAAATTCTTGATTTAGATGGTATTTCCTGTGAATATCCCTTTAACTACGTGTGCATGCTAATTGTTTTGATTCCGTGTGGTGATTATCGTAAGTCCCGTTGTTCAGTTTGCTTGAGGACAAGCAAAGACTTAAGTGTGGGGGAATCTGATAAGTCCGTATTTAGACACACATTTGATGCGTGTTGAGATAAGCTTTTGATGGTTTTCCCAGCTTTAAGGTGTTGCAAGTCTCAATTTTAGCCCAAGTTATGTTTACCGGGCGTTGGTTCGAGTTTTGTGTTGTTTGTAGTCAAAATCAGGGAATTTGAGCCCGGCACCGGCACTTGAGGAACAACCGGGATGATTTGAGAAGCATTTTAGAATGATTTGATAGCTTTGGAGGTCACCGGAAGATTCACGATGAAGATTTGAAGGAAAAAGAGCTCTAGGATTGGCTTCGGGATCAAAAGAAGATGAATGAAGCTTGAAAACGGCATTCAGGATGACCTTATGTCAATCGTTCAAGCATATCTCTTTGTAGAAGCATCCAAAGAACACGACTCAAAGTCCACATGAAAGCCAACTTCAAGAGCTACAAATCATATGAATACATCATTCCGAGAATCTGAGAGGAAGAAGGTTAAAACAGACGATGAAGTCAGATGATCCCTGCTGCAATTTCAGAATGACACCTTCCACCGTTTTGATCATATCTCTTGATTGGATGATTAAAATCACATTTGGCAAGTTGTGGTGGATAGAGGACTTCATTATCTACAACTTTCATGAAAGAAGTTTTGTCAAATTCGGACGTTTTACGCACGCCGTGCGTAGGGGAACGCATGACCGTGCGTCTGAGGCGAGAAAGCAAAGACCCTACTGCCAGCAACGCACGGCCGTGCGTTGGGGAACGCACGCCGTGCGTTCCATATTTTTACGCGGCTATGCTCCGGACGCACTGCGGGACGCACGCCGTGCGTTGGCCCCGTGCGTTGCCCCTGGAATCCTAATTTCGCCCGAATTTGTTCCGTTTTTCCTATTTAAACAGTCTGTAAACCCCGTTTTCGAGGGGGGAGCTTAGAGAGAGTGCCTAGCACGAAATTTAGAGGGCTTTTCAGCCTTGTTCATCAATCTTTTGGGATTCTTTGTAAGTTCCACATTTTTAATTAATGACAATTAATTCTTTTTATTCCAATTCTATTGATTCTTCAATTATGAATTGTGAGTAGTTTTAATTAGGGATTTGGGATTGATGAAGGAGTTAATCATGATGTATGGCTAGATTCTTTTCGGTTTAATTGCATGAATGCCGTTTAATTTGTGTTTGAATAATTTAATTGATATCTTTTGTAAACTATAATCGCGACTAGAATTACAATTGCATGTAGAATAAATTAAGAGAGATCTAATTTGTTCTAGGACACATTCACACACACTTAATCGTTCGCTAAGAGATTAGTAGCGATTAAGGGGCCGTAAGCTCGCTCGTCTTGGCAATAATTTAGGATCCTGTCGCATGAGAGATCAGCCTGGTCTCCTAAATTATTGTACTCTATGCCGCGAGAGCGGTAAGAACTTAGTAATGATTAGCTAGGCTCAATTAAATTAATTTCATGTAATTAGGCCTGATCTGCCAGAAATCTGGTTACCCCGGAATCGATCCATGTTCCCTTCGTCATTAATTAGAAAGAACCCCCTAGTTTAATTGTTCGCATTAGTTTTATTTTCCAAACCAACCAATCTCGCACGACGCTTTTATTTTATTTTCTTTTTAATCGCTGAATTTAATTAATTCTTGATTCCCTTTTGTCCGTCCCTGTGGAGACGATACTCGTACTTACACCACTATATTACAATCTTTTGAAGTGCGAGAAAACACTCATCAGGGTGAGGTCGGTGCCTGATGGTGGTGGACGTCGGCCAGTGGGCGGCGGCGTAACTGTGGATGGAGTAATTGTGGCCGGAGTTGTTGTGACCGATGTCACTGTGGAAGTATCACTATGGATGTGTCACTGTGGAACCATAACTGAAGTGAGTGTGCCTTGTCCTAATATGGATGAAATACATAACAATGCAAAAGCTGCTAGTAAACAATCGACCCATCCGACTCGGATGGGACCAATTGTGAAGCCCCAACAGCTCAAAGGCCTCAATTTCGAAACGAGGCAAATAGGGAGACCAATTGTGAAGCGTCCAAGCACAAACTCTGTTACCTAGCATCGCTCACCGACATCGCCATTTTACTGCATCGCAACTCGCAGAGGCAAGCTGCAGCCCAACGCCACATACGGACATACCCACACCTTCGGACTTTCGGAGCCATCCCACCACCACCCGCCGGATGGTGCTGACCGCTGTATTTGCCTCCCGCTTGTCCCGTAAGTTTTTTCATTCTTGCCTTTCTTTTTCGTGCCCCTCTTTAATTATTCTCTAGTTCTAGTTCCGCCAGGACACTTGATATCATATCCCACGTTCTTCATTGACTGTTTTTTTTTTGTATAATTGATTGATGATAAAGTTAACTTTCCTGATATACATATATATATTATACACACACTTCATTCCGTCCCGTTGGAAGGATCTCGTAGCAAAACGGCACGATTGTTTAGACAATAATTAAATAAAATACTTTGAGTATATTTTGAGAAAAATAATTTTAATAGGTATATATTATAATGTAGTTAGTATTGATAACTGTGATGTTATAAATGTACTACCTCCGCCCCCCTAAGTTTGAGACAATAGAAGGTGACACTGTTATTAATAAAAGTGAGTTTATGTGATTGATATTGAATTGATAAAGTAAGAATAAAGTAGGAATTATTTAGAACCACATAAACTTTACCAAATAAGGTATGAGACAATGTTAGTGGGACGGACCGAAATAGTAAAATGACACAATCATAGCGGGGCGGAGGAAGTATTATTTTAATATTTAATGATTAATTTGTCACTTAAGATTGTTAATTGTTTCCTAAAATGGAAACGGAAATGGGAACCTTTATATGGAACGTCCAAAAAAGGAAAGTAAGAACCTTCTAATGGGACGGAGGGCGGAGTATATATTAGTTTTAATGATTTAAAGTTACATATTCATTAATTATTCTAGAATATCATTGACAACAAAAGGTTTGATCATTAATAAAAAATCCGTCAATTAAAACTTTGTCAACTTTCATTTTTTGTTTGTCCCACTAACTTTGTCATTTTCCCCTTTAAGTTAAGAATTTGTGATACTAGTTAATTCTCTCTGTTTTGCACAAATTTTAACCACGATTTTTATTTAGGAAACTTTCCAAAATATGACTAAAAACGTTTGAGAATTTCAAAATAGAACTGTCATGTTTTTATTCCCAAAATAGGTGTTGGATCCAAGGAAGACACAGGAGCCAGAGGTTGACTTCCTGTCTGTAGGGTCTGAAGTGGTCGCTCTAACTAGGCCTGAAATTTGTTATGTTGTTAATAAAGTATGCCAATTCATGGCTGCACCACTGGAAGAACACTGGCAGGCAGTAAAGCACAATAGGAGTAATTACTGCAAAGTTTGGAAAATATTGATCGGCCTGTTTAAAGTCTGATGCTGCTAAAATATGACAATAATTAGACGTTTTTACTTGGACTGTAATTTGTTGGTCTGGTCTGATCTCTTTGTATTTTTATAAATATCCAACTCTGGTATGGTCTTAGACAAATTCTAGTCCAAGTAAAAACATCATTAGTCCTATTTAGGGAATAAAAACATGATAGTCTTATTTTGGAATAGACAGGTATATTTACTCTTATTTAGGGCAATTTCTCTTTTTATTTTATTAATCCCTATCCGATCAAATTTGGACAAAGATAGTACTATACAATACACTTTTTTTACACTGTTTAGCACCGTATGATCATATGTATAACATCCTTGAGGTGAGTTAACCAAGAACATAATCCATTCTTAAAAAAATGACAACACTCTGATTGAGAACATAGTTGCATATAATCTTGCCCAATGCAGTGAATAATATGCGCATCTCGTATAGTCGTATCCACCTTGTGCCTTAAATTACTCGTAGAGTGTTGAGTGGGACAATCTTGGAGTAGGGATCAAAACCAGAGGAACTCTTTTCGTTAACACAATCCCAAACTTCTCTGAGAGCTCTAATGTCTCTCCTTGGGGAAGTTTCCAGTCAAAAGAGTGAATGACTGAGGCTAGTGTGTACATGAACATCCTCTCAGCTGAGGCTATCCCGGCACAAATCCTTCTCCCTGAACCAAATGGAAAGTAGGCAAAGTCTTTTGTATTGTAGTAATCCCAAACATTGTTGTCCAAAAACCTCTCAGGTTTAAACTCCAATGGGTTTTCCCATACAGAAGAGTCTCTATGGATAGCCCATGCATTCAAAAAAATACGAGCGCCTTTTGGGACTGTATATCCCCCAACGGTGCACATTTTGCTCGGGCTATGAGGCACCAAAAGCGGCAGGACAGGGTGCAAGCGAAGAGTTTCTTTCATTACTGCAGACAAATATGGAAGTTGGTGAATGTGAGACTCTTCAACTATGTTGTCCTTTCCCACTATAGTGTCTATCTCTTCATGTAACTTCTTTAGGACCTCTGGTTCCTTCATGATCTCGGCCATGGCGAACTCTAACGCGTTTGACGTTGTGTCAGTTCCACCAGTAACCATATCCTGTTACCACCAACAGAGATCAAAATTAATTTGTTTATATGATGATCACTAATAGCTGAACTACTGAGTTTATGCTCTTTTATAAGTTTGCCCTTATTTAAGTTGTCAAAAATAAAACCACCATAAAAGCGTAGCATATAGAAGATCAACCTAATAAGAAGAGTAGTCCAAATCTTAATATCACACTTTATTAGTGGTCAATGTCTTTCTTTTTGAATAACTCACATATGCTTTTGTATTAATGACTCGTTGCCATTACTATTAAAAGTAAAATAAAATCATTTTAACCTAAATCTTGAACGACATGGAGTCATCATATAGCTAGTACCAAAACAAAAACAATTTGGCTATATGGTAAAAGCGTGACTCTAGCAAACATACCACAAGTAAGGCTTTGAGATGAGTGATAGTGAAAGGTATTATCTCATCACCTTCTCCATCTTTTAGCTTAAGCAAAACCTGCAAAAAGTCCCTACTCCCCATCTCATCACTACCCATTCCCGATCTTTGATCAATTGCCGTCTGGAAAACCTTGTCCAACCTAGAAACCAACTTCTTCATCTTCCTCTGAATCCCTTGTAAGTCATATGTTGCCAACCCAGGATAAAAGTCAGAAACATTAGGCAAACCTACCAGGCCTGAAATACCAGTCACAATCTGCCTGAATTCAGACCCAAGAGTTTCCCTTTCCGCCCCCTTCATCGTGCCACCCCACATCATGCCTGTGATCACGTTGATCATAGTCAAGAACATCTGCTCGCCGAAGTTGACCCGCCTCCCGGCCTGTTCATACAAGTATTTCACAGTGCCCCGAACTTCTCGGCGCCTGAGATCATAAACGGAGTCCAGAGCCGAGCTGCTGAGCATTTCCCGCACGCATACCTTCCTCAACATCCTCCACTCCGGCCCGTGTGGGCTCCACACGATGTCCTTGCCGCCGAAGGTGGCTTCCCGGCCAGCAGCAGGGACGTCGCGGTTCGCAAAGGCGGTGTCTTGATCCTTCAAGACCTCCCGAGCTATGGAGGGCGAGGTGATGACGATTCCGGGCTTCCGGCCGAGCCAGAGGGTGTATATGGGGCCGTGGACTTGGGACAGGGCAGCCATGTATGAGTGGAGCTCGGGTTGGAGTGAGAGCAGATTCCCGAGTAAGGGCAGGGGTCTTGGACCTGGCGGCAGTGGCGGCTGATGTTTTCCATTTCTGCTCTTCTTGAGGACGATTAAGATCCACAGCGCCGTCCCAAGAAAGATTAGGGCGGAGGAGATGAGAAAACTATGGTATTGGTTGCTGAAACCCGCCGCGGTAGTCACATCTTGATACATGGTTGGAGAGCTCTTTGGGGTTAATTGTTTTTAGTCAACTTTAGAAAATAGAAACTTGTTTAAGCAAAATTTGATGAATACACATTTTGTACACTCAGCTACATTTGTACACAGATCATGACCTTTTCTTTAAATGTGCTCATAAGTACACATTCAAAATTGACGATCATCCTAAACCAAAGTTAGGCATCTTTTTAAACTTTAGCACAGAAATAAGGTGGCAAACTTATTTTACTTTAGACATGGACCTTACAACTGTGGAAATTTAGTACTTAGATGATGTATTCTACTACGGATAACAAGAATGAAATAATAGGAACTTATGTTTGAAATTCCCAAAATAGGAGCTCATATTCTCTCTCTTCAGGCATACGGCATGCATCTCCCCTCTTCCATCAAACTTCTCTTATCCTCTCTGTCATGAATTTCTCTGTGTGTCTCCCACCTTCCTTTTTTCTCTCATCCTCTCTTTTTTCTCCATCTCTCAAACCCCTACTCTAACTCATGTATTCTCTGATCGCTACTATGGAGATTCAATATTTCAACCATCTATGTGTCCTCTTTCTTCTACACCTAAGGCGTCTATTTTCTTCGTCATTTGATTTTTTATCTAAGATATAAAAACTTAGATATGAAATTGTGAGACTTGAATAATTGGTGTTTGGAAAATTTTAATCTGAATTTTGGCTTAATTTGATTCATTTGTTTTCCAAAAACGACTTAGGAATTTTCTTCATCATTTACGAACTATTTTTTACCACTTAAAAATAATCTCATTTTAATGATATTTTATTGAAAAAATTCCACTTTTGGTCCTATGAGTTTTGCACCAATTCCACATTTAGTCCCCGTCTTTCACTTTATCCATTTTTGATACCTGACTATTGTTTTGTTGACCATTTTTTGTCCAACTCCGGGAATTTTTACTACCGGAAAAGGACTATATATGGTCAAGAAAACAATAGTCAGGTACCAAAAATGGATAAAGTGAAAGACGAGGACTAAATGTGGAATTGGTGCAAAACTCGCAGGACCAAAAGTGGAATTTTTTCTATTTTATTTATAAAGATGACAATGATACCAGCTCCTTTGAAATGCAGTAATTACAGTGCCATATTCTCTACCTGATGTTGTCATTTTTATGGCACTAATTTTATGAAGATGGCAATATTACTTTTAATATCATGTTTTGTGAATGTCATATTTTTAAATTGTGAATGATATATTTTTGGACCGTGAGTGCCATATTTTTACACAATAATGCCATTATTATTTTAACATGCCATTAATCAATAAATCATTTTTATATCCAGAACAATCTTGATGGAGGATGTGACCGCTGGGTGAAGGTACGACAGAGCGCGTCGGCGGCAATGACCTCACCGGAACACGGCGGCAGCAGCTTTGCCGGAGGACATAAGTGGACTTGTTGGAGGCATGTGGCAGTGGATCTTACAAAGGGTGGCAACAGATGACGCGGTAGCGTCGAATGAAAGGGAAGCATAAGGCGACAGTCACAAACTCGCCAGCGGCGTCGACGGCGGTCTCTTCAGACGGTGCAGGCAGATTCACTGGGCGACGGTTGTACAATAGGACGATGCAGGCAGATTCATCGAACGTCAGCTCCCTGACAGTGACAACGGTGGCAGCGGCGGCTCCATGGAGGTGGGTTGTGTTACTTAATTGTATTTGCTGTCAGATTTTGTGAGTGTTCTATGGTCATGTTTTCCAATGGAGTATATCTCTTGCTTATGGGAGGATGTCTTTGAATCAAGGTTAGTGGTGGTGATGCAGAAAATCCACGATTTTCTACTGTCGGTAGGGTTGCGTTGTCAAGGAAAAACCGTCTAGCCTATCTCTTTTCGTGAGACAACGACAATGATATGGTGCCCGGGCAGAGGAGTGAGTATTGAACAGATTGGGGATATGTGTTTTCTGATACAATTTTATTACCAGAGTGATATCTCCTAGGTGTTGTAGAATGGTCTGTGGTCATTTAATCAAAATTGAGTAGTTATTAAGAGGATGGAAATGGCAGATAGACCCCTAGAGGTGGAGTTGGATCGTGCAGAGTTCTGAGTTAAGATCCACAATCTACCCCTAAGTTTTATGCCATAAAAAGTGGCGAATTTCAAGTATGAGAGACTATCAACCTTTGCTTCATATGTGGAGTACTAGGTCATATTGATCGGTATTGTCCATCAAATATCAGTTTGGGGGCCGTGGGTTAGAGAGAAGCCTTATGGCCCCTGGATGAGAGCAGATATGCAGCATGGAGGGGTTCACCTTTGAAATACATGGCTCATCTCGTGTGGAGGGCGAGTTTCCATAAGTGATGGGAGAGAAGGTGAGAAGGACCAAGGATGTTTTTACTTGGACTGTAATTTGTCCCAGACCAGACCAGACCAGACCAGACAAGACCAGACCAGACTTGGATAGTTATAAAAATACAAAGAAACCAGACCTTACCAGACCAGACCAGTTCAGATCAGACCATACCAGATCAGACTAGACCAGACCAGCAAATTACAATCCAAGTACAAACATCCTGAGAAGAAGCAAGACGAAATTAGAGCCCGGGTGGAAGGACATTCTAGGAAAAGAAAAGTTGTGGAAATGCATAATTTGGTGGAGGTTCAAGTTCATATGGAGGTTGATGTGGATGGGTTATAAAACGGCTCAGCGGCAGTGCTCTCGAAATAGCACCGCCTAGAATACTAATAGGTCCCTGCCGAAATAGCACCGCCTAGAATACTGACAGGTCCTGCAAATGAGATGCTTCCTTTGGCGGTGACTGGTCAAACTTCTTCTCCCTTCCCGGTGGTTACTAAAGTCGGGATGCTTCTTTTGGAGGTAGCTGGTAAAACATTTTTGATAAAGAATTCTTGATTAGTTATCCCTCATTTTAGTGGCAAGTTCAGCAATGCTGCTAGATTAGTCTACAGAGTTGCGGATTAGCAAACATGGGCAGTGGCGGATCCAGGAATTGGTAGTATTGGGGGCAGAGCAAAAATAATGTGCATGAAGAAAAACCCTAATTTGTCGTGCGTGTGTACACGCGAATAACAAAAATACACACGAATAGTTAAAATCCGTTATAAAATACACGTGAATTTTTCCAAAAAAATAGTATTATAAATTCACAATTGCTCTGTTCTAGTTTTCATAAGAGATCTATAGCACATCCAAATTGATTTCTTGAGTAATTGAAATGCACATTGAGAAGTACTACTACACACATTTGAACTTGAACTTCCTAGTACTGAGAAAGGTGTTTTGTCCAAAAATCTATTTAAGAAATTTGATATAAAAAATGAGTTTTTTAAAAAAATATTACTAAAATAAAACTTATTTACACAAATATGATTAATATTTACTAAAATATAGTGTCATGGTAACTTAAGTTTAAAAATTAAATATAAATTACTATAATTCCATTACTATTCTAATCACTGGTCACTTTTTCGTAAACTATCTTTATTTTAGTCATAAATACGGAGTATGTAATTACTTCTAAATATGTAATTAATTATTTGATAACTAATGTACTCTTTTACCTGTTTATATATATTAAACCTTCTGCTAGAGTGATACCAATATAAAAAATATATTTTATATGACTTTCTTAATTCTAAATCGTACTACCTCCGTTCTGTTGGAAGGTTCCCATAAGAAAACGGCACAGTTATTTAGACAATAATTAAATAAAGTACTTCGAGTATACTTTGAGAAATAATTTTAATAGGCATATATTATAATGTAGTTAATTTTAATATTGTTAATTCTTTCCTAAAATGAAAATGGAAACCTTTATGTGGGACGTCCAAAAAAGGAAAGTGAAAACCTTCTAATGGGACGGAGGGAGCTGAGTAATACTATTATAGGTAGTTGCAGACTTTAGATTGTTAATTTGGACAATTAACACAAATACACAAATTCACAATAACATTTTTATTTGGGAAACAAATCACAATAATTGTTGAAGGTATTGGTCCTACCAAGGCTTCCCTTCCTCTTTATTATTGACTTGCACTCCATGATTACTCCCACTTTGATACCTCTTGTTTTGAATCTCTCCTAACCAATAATATGGTCATTTTGACTTATGTTGAGTGACCCCTTTGAGCTGTCCGGTCCAGTCATCCTTGTCTTTGCATCACCCGTGAGTGTCCTTTGTGTTGGCCAGCCTATTATTTAGCTAGCTCCTTTCTTCCTTGTTTCAGCAGCCTGCGTGTGAGATATTGAAAGAGTGAGAGCAGTGCTCTACCCCTTCTCCTTCCTTTGTGTGTGAGTTGAGAGAGGTACTTGGTGGTTGGAGATAAAACATGGTGAGTTGTGTTGTGGTCTAGCCTAGAGTGGTGTGTGTGAGTATGGCAAAAGGGTTGGAGACCTGAGCCGGAAGAAGAATCGATCCTCAACAGTGGTATCAGATCCAGGGGCTGTCTTTGCCGTCGATTTTACTATATTCTGCTGCTCACCTCCGTCTGCCGCCGTCCGCCGCCGTTCTCAGACAATCCAAGGTCCGAGTGTTTGTAGTTCATGGATTCAAGTTGCTAGAGCTCGGCTCGCAACTCATCCAGGCTTGACTTGCCGAAAATCGCTGGTGGTCTACTGTCCTGGATCTCCTCGTCGGAAATCCCGTAGGTCCGCCGTTCGCTGGTTCCAGAGCTCGTAGGTCGAGTTCGCTGCTATTGATTAAAGTCGATTTCTGCCCCCATTCCAGTTCACTGTTCTACCTCGCCTGGGAATCGCCGCTCGGAGCTGGAGGTTGTCGTCGCAAGTAGGGCGTCGCTCGTCGGTTGTTTCAAGTTCTGGAGTCGCCGCCTGGAGCTGTCCATTTCCGCAGGAGCTCGTTCGTGGAACGCAACTGGAGAAGCTGAACGCTGAAGAGTACCGCGTGGAAAGAACGCAACTGGAGGGTAGGGTTTTGAAGTGGAAGCTGTCACGCATCAACATTGAACCTGGACGCCTGGAGTTACTGGACTTGGGCTGGTCAAATCTAGACGCGTGGAGTTGCTGAAACTGGGCTGGAACCTTGAGGTTGGACCTAGTTGCTGGGCTTGAGCCACTGGAGGCTTGAAGCAGAAACACACAGGA